GTTTTCTTTGTATAGGTCTTTTACATCCCTGGTCAGATTTATTCCTAAGTATTTTATCTTTTTAGGGGCTACTGAAAATGGTATTGTTTTCCTGACTAAATCACAATTAAAAAAAAAAAAAAAAAAAGGCTAATTCTCTTACAGGGCCCAATACAACTGTCACAATTCCAGTCCAAAAACAATGTTCCAAAATTAGATGTGATTAATAAAATAAACTGTTATTTTGTCTGTTATTGATCAAAATGCACAAAGTATGATGGCCAGACCAGCCCCTCATAAAGCCAGTAAATACACGCTCCCCACCCCACCCCACTTTGTCGTGGTGCTACTTACACTTGAGTTAAATGAAGTCTACATTGTCCTATTTGCTGCTTTAATGCTGAACAGAAGAACTACACTGAAGCCTCAGACCTGGTGTCTAATTCTCGAAGCAGTTACAAAGCAACTTTCATACCCCAATGGAATCTAAAGAAGTCTAGCAGATATAACAGCCTCACTAGAATGCTAAACCAAAATAAACTACTTTTCATGCCCAGATTTTCAAATACTCTAAATCTGTCCTTCTAAAAACTATGATACTAGAGTTAAGACAATTCTTTCATTGTCATATGCATATTTGTGCCTGGACAAATTCAAAAGGTAGTTAATGTTAATTAACTGAAACAATAGTATCAACACTTAGTTCCTCTTTTTATGTGTTGGAGAAGGGGCAAAGCCATAGATACACAAAATAAGACAAGATATCTTTCCTGAAAACAAACACTAATGCTGCAGACAGTTTTGATAAAGATCCATTTAAACCAACTCGTAAGAAATCCATGTTTTCAATTCTAGTGGTAAGTACACAATGATTATAATAATAGTAATAAAAACCCACTGCCATTAAGTTGATTCCAACTCATACTGACCCTACAGGACAGAGCAGAACTGCCTCATAGGGTTTCCAAGGCTGTAAATCTTTATGGAAGCACTGTCACATCTTTCTCCCGTGGAGTGGGCTGGTGGTTTTGAACCACCGACCTTTTGGGTAGCAGCTGAGTACTTTAACCACTGCATCACCAGGGCTCCTAATAACAGTAATTAACGTGTAAAAAATATATATAATTAGTCTCCTTAATATGACATAGGCTCTTTTCTTTAAAGCGTTCCATCCAAACAATTCAGGTGTGGGTCAGTTTTTCTAGAGAAAAAGAAATACTTTACCTCAAAAATCATGTTATACTGAATCTAACTGGTTGTTTATTTTTAAAGTGTAAACTGAAAACAGAATTTTAAAGTTGCATGCATTATTTAAATTCTTATTGTTTTGAAAGTTCATGTATTTCATCTTATAGAAATTTCACATAATATTAAATAGGCAATTCAAAAATTCCTCATCATTAATATTTTTAAATTTTTAAATCCTGATCATTAAATTACTACTCTAAATAGTTAAAATAATTACTTTAAAAAAAAAGGCAACGTAAGTTTTAAGGCTAAAAAAAAATTTGTTTTCACGAAAAGGAATCCATATTTTAAATAGAAAAATAAGAAAATTTCTATGAACTAGGAAAAGAAATGAGCCCTGAATCTGCTAGAATTTCTTATTTTTGGTTTTCCTGCAAGCAAAAATTAATACCATCTAGGAAATGGTGTAATGGGGCAAAAGGAACTATGATTTCCAGTCAATACTTACAAACAAAACCTACAGTTTAAAAACCTCAAAAGTAAGTGAACTTGTTGATTTTAGGCAAGGTTGAAGTACTCTGTTTTTCCACTTTTTCATTCTAAACACTGTTATTTATCCCCTGCCTAAAGAAAGGGTTAGCAAACTTCTTCTGTAAAGGGCCAGATAGTGACTATTTGTTGGCCTTAAGGTCTCTGTTGTAATGACTTAATTCGGTTTTTGTAATGCAAAACAACTACAGACTATATACATAAATGAATGGGAATGATTGTGTTCCAATAAAACTTTATTTACAAAATTAAGCTGCGGGCTTAGTTTGCTGACCCCTGGCCTAAACAACAGGAAGCTTTCATATCAATGACTGCTCAGAAACAAAGTTTTCAAAATTGAAATTTTAAAACTCTTCATAAAAGGAAATAAGCAGTGACCATGTATAACCACATTCTTACAACATACCTGAGCTGGAGGCATGACAGTTGTGGGTAAGGGATTAGAAATCATTGGCCCAAAGATGTCCAGATCATCATTCAGGGCTGGCATCGTGGTTGCGTTCCCATTGGTTACTGGTGCCTCGGCAGGGCCATCTGGAAAGAACATAAGATTCTTGTTTTAAAGTAGAATCCCTTAATTTGAAACATGACATTATTTTAAAAATTAACGTATGGTTGGGGAAAAAAGTGCAAAAGTTGATACAGTATGTTTCCCTTCTGTCCCAGGCCCTACTCCCTTTCCCACAGAAACCATTTCCAGTTTTGTTTACTCTCCCAGAATACTCTTTACTCACTCATTTCTATGACTATATCCAAAACTCCTCCTTTTTAACAAATGATATAACACTAGTCACATTATTCTGCGTCCTTTTTTTTAATAATAATAAATTCTTTAAGTGCTTCCTATTTACTAGGCACTGTTCTGTGTACTTTACATATATTACATCATTTAATCTCTATAACTTTATGAAACAGACACTACTTTTAGATAAGTAACTGAGCTGGAATGAGACTTTGCCCTTAAAATAATGCCTCTCGATAAATATGTGTGTGTGCACACAGACGTGCACCTGTGTATTTTGGAGATCCCTTCATATCATGTATGCCTACCTTTTAAATAAATTTTGATGATTTAAAATATCTAAAATGTTTCATTTTAAAGTCACAAAATAAGGTGAAAAAAAGAATTAAAAAAAAAAAACACTATTTAAACTGGTTCCATAGCAAACATAAGGAGCCCTGGTGGTGCAGTGGTTAAGTACTCAGCTGCTAACTGAAAGGTCAGCAGTTGGAACCCACCAGCCAGCTCTGCAGAGAGAAAGATGTAGCAGTCTGCTTCAGTAAAGATTTACAGCCTTGGAAACCCTATGGGGCAGTTCTACTCTGTCCAATATAGTCTCTATGAGTTGGAATCAACTCGACAACAATGGGTTTGGTTTTTGGTTTTTTATAGCAAGCATTCGTAAAACTCCAAGTAAACCCTTTCTTTATTCAAGCACAGCCATCTTCAGTGATGGCAGTATCAAGTCACTGAGTTCTACAGAAAAAGGGACTGCGATAGTTTTTATGTCTAAAAAAAGTTCTTAGTTTGTATCTCCTTTTTACTTACATTAGGGCAGAATTTACAAGGTATATGGGGTAGGGTGGGAGTGGGGTGTAGGAGAGAGAGTTTGCAAGAGTTCTAGAGAATGGAACATCTCACACAGCTCAGTCTTCAGTGGCCAAAACCAAATAACACTTTAGAGCACTGCAGTAATCTCTTGGACCTTATATTCTGATCTTCTATTTTAACAATTTGCAATCTTGCTTGTTCTCTCTCTTGACAAAACATACATACACACAGAGTAGGTACTCAAATAATTTGAGAAATTTAATGGAAGGTCTACCATCTGATATTTCTACCACAACGCAGAGAAATTCTATGTTTCTTCTCTTTTTCAAAGTATAACAGCAATTGCTATCTTTCATTTTCAGGGTCAACTTAAGCTTCAGTGAATCACAAAGAATTATCATTAATACCATTAATATCAATGAATAAATGGTCACAATAAGACATTTACTATTTAATTTGTAAAATAGTGCGTGAAACCCAAATTAGGTTAATTTGGACAATTTCAACTGTGATTATATTTAAAATCATTTTCAGTGATACCACATTTTCAAAACCACAAAGAAGTTAATATATTTACTATGTATCTATATATGTTACATATATTATTCTCTATATCAATCACCGTGGACAATTTTATGGTGAAGTAATCAAACAAAATGCATGGATTATTGCAAATTTATTATACATAATTCACAGCTTATAACTGAGAATTTAGAATTATAAGCTAAAACACACCCATCAACTAAAAGAATTAAAATATGACTCACAGATGAAATTAACTTTTTTTTTCATTTCTAACCCTTTGAAATGGCAACATTCATTTTAAAGTTGGACCTCTTAAAATATGACTGTAATTTTATACATATGTGTGCATATATGTATACACACACACAACTGAAACCCATAAACAAAAGCACATGTCCTCCAAAACAAAACTAAAACTACAACAAAAGTAAAAAAAAAGAAAAAGTTGACAAGCTGAGTTCAAGCAACTATTTCCAGTTTTTCAGTTAAAATCTTTCTTTGCTTTTTCAAGCAACAACAAACACTAAAAACTAGGACAAATTTATGAAAAAACCATAAGCATGAGAAAATACTATCATCAACTTAATTTTTTTTGGTGAGCTGAGGAAACAGCATTAATTGATTTTTACCACAGGACATGACAATCTAGTTTATAGAACACCAGTGTGCCCAGGATGCACTGTGAGAACCATGAGGTTCATCTACTACAAACTGTTTTCGTTACTTTCATAAACTGTACACCTTTCAGAAATTTTAAGTCTATTCTAAATAGTACCATTATACTCCACTCAGAATATTTATTTATACTTTCAAATCTAAATCCTATTTGGTATGTTATTAGATGCTGTCGAGTCAGTTCTGATTCATAGTGACCCCATGTACAACAGAACGAAACACTGCCAAGTCCTGCACCATCTTCACAATAGTTATTATGCGTGAGCCCACTGTTGTAGCCACTGTGTCAATCCATCTCGTTGAGGGTCTTCCTCTTTTTCACTGACCCTCTACCAAGCATGATGTCCTTCTCCAGGGATTGGTCCCTCCTGATAACATGTCCAAAGTATGTGAGACAAAGTTTCACCAACCTTGTTTCTAATGAGCATTTGGAATCTAGTAGTAGATTATCTAAGGAGCCCTGGTGACACAATGGTTAAAGCACTTGGCTGCTAACTAAAAGGTCAGTGGTTCAAACCCACAGCCACTCCGAAAGAAAAAGATGTGACAGCCTGGTTCTGTAAAGATTTATAGCCTTAGAAACCCTATGGGGCAGTTCTACTCTGTCTTAGAGGGTTGCTATGAGTTGGAATCGACTTGATGGCAATAGGTTTAGAATATTATCTAATCTGTAAAGCAACATACAACACATTATTTAGTTTTTGAAGTCTTATTTTACCTTCACATCTGTTAGGAGTGCACACATGACTAGTAAAAACAATGTTGTTCTTGTTAGCCACTATTGAGTTGTGACCCCGTGCACAACAGGATTGGACTGTTGTGATTCAGAGGGTTTTCACTGGCTGATTTTTCAGAAGTAGATCACCTGGCCTTTCTTCCTAGTCCATCTTAAGCCTGGAAGCTCCAATAAAACCTGTTTAGTATCAGAGCACCACACAAGTCTCCACTGACAGATAAGTGGTGGCTAAGCTTGAGGTGCCTTGGCTGGGTCTGCAGCATGGAAGGCAAGAATTCTACCACTGAATCGCCACTGCCCCCATTTAAAAAAAAAAGGCTTGTTTTGTGCGAGGCCTGAAAAAATACATATATACACACACATGCACACATACATACACTCATTTAATCTTTATAAAAATGCTATGAGTTGTTGTTGTTAGCTGCTGTCAGGTCAGCCCCTGACTCATGGTGACCCCATGCAGAATGGAATGAAATCCTGCCTGGTAAAACTAAGCCACACCCATGATCGGTTGCAGATCAGGCCACTGTGATCAACAGGGTTTTCGTTGGCTGATTTTTGGGAGTAGATTTCCCCAGGCCTGTCTTCTTAGTCTATCTTAGTCTGGAAGCTCTGCTGAAACCTAGTGAGCATCACAGCAAAATACACACCTCTGAGGCCGGGTAGTGGCTATGCATAAGGTGCATGGCTGGGAATCAAATCACCACTAACCACAACCATAGGTATGAGTAAGGTACTATTAAATTATCCCCTCTTACAGATGCCACAGAAAGTTAACAAACTTGTCCAGTGTCATAGAACTAAAGCAATAAAATTGTAACCTTATTCATTTTTTATTATAAAAGCAACACATCCTTGTAAAAGATTCAAACCATGCAAGAATGAATTAAAAGTCCCCTACTATACATTTTCTATGCTTATAAACATACGCTGAAAACAACCTATACAGGATCACACAAAAATGGTTTTCTTTATATAACATCGCATGTGCGTGCATGCACAGTGGGGCGGGAGGGAGGTTGCATTCTATGGCATTGCAAGGACCTATAATAACTTCCTCAGTCCTTTACTAATGAATATTTAGTTTCCAGATTCTCACCATTACAAAAACAGAACAATGTACATACAAGCTCCTTAATATGAAGTCTACACAGCTCATTTTCCTTCACTGCAAGGAACTAGACTTTCGTTTCCACCATCGCACTATAATAGCTGTACTCTCATTTTTTTTTTGAATTATTTTTATTTTTTAAACTGACCTCTTGAAATGTCAAGCAATGGCAAACACTAAAAATTAGGAAAAATTTATGAAAAAAAAAGTTAGGCTCTCTTTGTAACCACGTACCATGGTTAACGGAGCAGTCATGAAAGTCAACTCACAATGTTAAGTCTGAGCGGCTGTGAACTCCTTTAGAATGAGATAGTGGAAACACCTTCTTCCAAGCCCCATCTAGGCTTCTCTCTGCTTCATGGGGTCCCGCCTCATGATGGGCACAGGTGACTCTTCTCTGCTCTCACACTCACAATATATCTACCTTCTTTTCTCTCTACCCCAGACCTCTCCCCACATGATCCATTAACAAGGGCTTCTGGATTACACACCCATCCATTTTCCTTGTTACAACAAAAGCTAAGCATGCACAGAATTGTTGAAAGGCAAATCCTTACATGGATGAAAACTTCTCAGCCTTGTAAGCACAGTAAAGACAAGTCCTCAAAGTTTTAAAATATTTCATAAGTACTTCTCAATAAGTTTCAATGTTTGCTACTTTTAATTATTAAATCTGGCTTGCTAAAAACATTCTTAAATTTTTTTTTTCCATTCATTTTGAAGGTCTTTGAGTTTTTAATTTTCAGTATAGTCATGCACTGCATAATGTTCATTTGGGCAATCCCCTACCACATATGCATCCATGATCCCATAAGGCCATACAGGCAGACCCCGGGTTACAAATGTCTGACTCATGAACAACTCACATTTAAGAATGGACTGCCATAAAGCCTACTGTATTAAAATTGAGTTAAATACAATAGTTCGTAATAACT